TCAACAGACTAATACTTTTCGTCCTTCTTAGGACGTTATTTTTTGTTATTTGAAGCCCCACTCTGGCTTTTGCCAGGGGCCGCAATATAGGCAGGTCATCATTATGGCCAAATGTCTGAACGCGGTTTCTGGGACCTCTCCACGGTGATCCTCATCCGCATGGTGGCACTTTGTGTCATCGGGTGTTTATCGCTTGTGTGATGTCCTGGTGGGGTAAAAAATCCAATCCTATTTCACTCAGCGACCCGTAAAGTTTGACTTGCACCGATGTTTAACTTGGCCAAAAGTTTTACCTTCATATGTTGTATTTGGGACAGTCTTGGAGGACGTGATCTGTTGTCTCAGGTGCCAATCCACATGTGTACATGGCAGATTCGCCGATTGTAAATTGTGTGTACATAGGGCTGTGAAGTCGATTGTGTCCTGTTCTAAGGCATAAAATAATAACTTGTCTGTGCATAAATATATGTCATATTTCATATACTGTTAAATATACGTCATATTTCACAATAATAATCATAGGAGGACAACAAAAAGAACGACTGTCTGAGAGAGTCTGATACCAAAACAAGAGAAAGAGCGTGTTGGAGATCCATTGCAGATACCTTAATTAGAAAGACAGCAGCTGATTGATTGGTTGGTTGGTTGACTGATTGATTGGTTGGTTGGTTGACTGATTGATTGGTTGGTTGGTTGACTGATTGATTGGTTGGTTGGTTGACTGATTGATTATACTGGACAGCATAGTGGTTGGTGAGCTTTCTTGCCAAGGCATCCATTCATGAATCCCAGTAGAGATAGCGTATTGTTTTGGAGCAGTGCGACTCTAGTGCGCATCCAAGCACCTGATAAAAATGAATGACAGGTAATTTTACGAGAATTGTCTGGGAAATGTCACGGAAGGAAAGGTGACGAAGAAGCGAACTAACCTCTCATCTGACTTGTGACCTAGTAAATGTGAAGTTCTGGATATGCAAAAGACAGGCATTTATATAGGATAAATTTTGCCGATAATTGTGCTACAGAAATACGACACGAGCACTGTAGCAGTAACAAGAGATACTTTCTTCGTCTTCTCCCACTTCTTCGCGTTCTGTTTCGTATACTCAGGTCAGACTGTCAGGTTGGCTGCTTCTATGAACTCGCACATCGGTTGCTCTCTATACTTTTCTCTTGAGGCCTGGTTTCTTTTCGAAGTTGTAGAGTGGGCAGACCTGCTGCTAAACGTGCTCAGATATTTGTGGTCCCGTCTGACATGCACACTGTGCGGACAGTACAGTCTTTATTTTATGCATGTTCTGGTAGTGACAATGAATGGATGTATTGTTTCTCCTTGTTCTATTCGTTGCAAGTCAGTCCGCCAACCCATCTCCTAGTATGCCGTAGTAGGCCAGGATATACCGAAGAACGATTTGATTTTCTTTTTGAGAGTTTTGTTATCTGATATAGCGAAATACGCAGAGGTGTCGTGGGAGCAGACGAGGGCAGGGTGCAAACGAAAAGCTTAGGGAGAAGGGCAGGCAAAACGGAGATCGGAAAGTTAACATCGCGAATTTGCTTTCAACTTCTGCGGGTAAACCATGTTGAACCAATCAGTGCTCGGTGGAAACTATAATAATGTTATCAGACAGCCACATAAGATTAAATTGAAATTTTTTTTTTTAAATATGAAAGGTTGCAACAGTGTTAAGGCGCAGATCCATGAAGTTGAACGTGCAGCATTATGAGCTGGAATCATTTTTAATAATTATCGGCGCGTAATACTGAACAGTGTTCCTAGATAATTAAAAAAATTCCAACATATTCATTAAACTAAACCAACTATGAACCTTATCCTAATAAATCACCTAATGTTAGCTGTTATAGTCCGGTCCTATTTCTAATTCGTTGTATTTTGGATAATTTCTCGGCAACCGGCAACTACATATCCTGGAGATGTGATTTTTTTTTAGCACGTGCTCTATTTTTAATCTGGACGTTAATGTTTTATGCGTACGTGATATATGTATATACACGACCAACCAGTTTTTATCGGAACAGACGCTTTCTTTGTTACGTTTATCCTTTGTATAAGTGTACTTAGGTAACAAAACACATTTTACAGTACCGATGTAAATCAAAGTACCGAAATATGAAAGGAGTTAGAGGCGTTTCCGCGGGTATTTATCGTGGAGGCGTCAGGTTCTGCACATCTCAAATTTTTTATAATGTACTTTTGGATACTGGTTCTGTCTAAGTTCACGTTTTAATTTCTTCAGCATCAATAATTATTAATCGTCCAACATTCTGTATATTGATCGTTTCATAACATCTTTATCTTCTTCTTCTTCTTCTTCTTCTTCTTCTTCTTCTTCTTCTTCTTCTTCTTCTTCTTCTTCTTCTTCTTCTTCTTCTTCTTCTTCACTTCCTCTTTTACCGCTGTGGGTGTCGAGGGAGATATAAGGTTCTGTTTCACATCGTGCTGTTGTAGAGTTTCTCTGATGTTATCCTTCCATCTTGTTCTTGGTCTACCTCGTGCTCTACGTCCTTCTTCTCTTTCCATGTATGCTTTGTATGGTATGGTGTCACAAGGCATTCTCTCTAAGTGGGCAAACCATTTCACTTGCTGTCTTCGTATGTAATCCAGAATTAGTTCTGTGCCGACTTTTTCTCTTATGATCTCATTCCTGATCTGATCTCTTATGGTCACTCCTACAGCCCTTCTCAGACATCTCATTTCCGTGGTTACTAATTTTCTTTTATTGTTTGTTGTGAGTGACCATGTCTGGCACTGGTAGCACAGAGTTGGACTAAATATGCTTTGAATAAGATGTCTCTTTGTGCTGATTGGGATTGTATTATGCTGTAAGAGGGGGGGGGGGGGGGGGGGGGGGGGGGGGGGGCTGTCCCAATACTTGGTTTGATTTACTGCATCTAATGTTAATTTCTTTATCCAATTTCCCATCTTCGGTAAATGTAGTTCCCAGATATTTAAACTCAGATGCCTGTTTAATGCCTTTGCACTCTATTGCTATGTTTAGATCTGTCTTCTTTTTTCCTATTGACATTACTTCTGTCTTTTCAGTGTTGATTCTCATATAATTTGTTTTACATTCTTTATTTATGGATGTTAGATGTTGTTGCAATTTCATGGTTGTATCTGCTATCAAGGCCTGGTCATCTGCAAAGAGTAATTCGTTGATCTTACTAACATTTTCATTCATGGGCTTGGCATTCTTGCATATACTGTCGATGTAGGTGATAAAAAGCAGTGGTGATAAGACACACCCCTGTCTTACTCCAGATGTTATTGTGAATGGATGAGATGTTCCCTGATTTATTCTAACTACACTTCTACAATCCCTGTGTAAACTTTTGCACACTTCGATGAGGTGTTCGCTTACTTCATATCTTGTCATTACGTAACATCTTTATCAAAGTTATCATTTTTCTGTTTCCTTCCTGGCTCAACACTAGTATATTTAGAAAACACTGGCTCTTCTCTAGCCCGTTTCGAAATGTTTGAAAAGAGCTGCAGCAGTTTCAAGTAAAGACAGAATACAAAATCACGAAATCAGACGAATGCTAGGAATAAAGCCAGTCTTGCAGGTCATCAAAGAACAACAAATGAAGTGGTCTGGACATCTAACAAGAATGCACTGGTACTATCTGCCACAGCAAGCCACACAACAACGTTACAACGGGTATAGAGCGAGCGAAAGACCTCGTAAAACATGGAGTGATGGCATTAGGAACAACCTTACAGAAATAAACATCGGTCTTAATAGTGCTCTAGAAAGAGCTCATCAACAAACATTACATCTACCCCCGACACTTGGCTGAGGTACAAGGTGGAAAAGAAAGAAGAAGAAGAAGCAGAAGAAGCAGAAGAAGAAGAAGAAGAAGAAGAAGAAGAAGAAGAAGAAGAAGAAGAAGTTTAACCTGAAATTAGGAATATTGACATAATTCTTGTCATAATTTTTAATGTAAAGAATTTAACTTTCGGCCCCATTCTAATAAGACAAGAACAAACCACGCAAGTTACGCCTTTGCAACTTTTGACGAAGCGTGACAACCTACGGATTTTAGAGTGTGTGTCCGGGACAGTTAGTAGTCGGCGTGTCCACACTTTCAGCGCAACAGTCAGAGTCTTTTTCATAATTAACATTAATCAAAAGATTCACGTGATTTTATGGAAGGTCGATTGATTATGCTTGGTGTAACTCTTAAAAGGCAGCCCAATAAGGAGCACCGTATATTTAAATACATCAAATAAGCAAAATGCATTCCAATTACTTGTTATTGGGGGTTGGGGGGGGGGGAGTGCTGACATTGCGGTGCGAATGAATTTAATCCATTTACTACATTTAATCCATTTACTACACCACAGCTGAGATATAGCCGAACACCGGCATGAATTTCTAAACGCGCTATATCAGACAAATATATAAGACTCAACGTGTTCACAAGTAGTAATATACATCTTTATAGCGTTTCACAGACCTCATATATTCATCATCATCATCTTCTTATTCTTCTTTTTCTTTTTCGTCTTCTTCTTCTTCTTCTTCTTCTTCTTCTTCTTCTTCTTCTTCTTCTTCTTCTTCTTCTTCTTCTGTACGTTCACCCGAGGACATAACTGCGTTGTACCCGTTTCCAACATGGCACATGTCGACACATCCGACTTCTTCAGACATGTGTTGCATGGCTTATTTTAAGGTCCATTAGCACTCACGTGGTGCATTGGGCATTTGAGGGTGGACTCATATTTTTATAGACCAATGATATGCCTTGATGACTCACATTTACCTTTTTTTATTAGTTAACTTTAGCCTAAGCTAAACTGCCTGATGTTAACAGTTAACATGCAACTTTGTAAAACTGAACAGGGTCCACAGTAATATAGAGCCTCACAGCGTTTAGACTTCATATAAACCTTGTTAATGTTGTTTAACCTTGGCCTAATGTAAACTGGCTTAATGTTAACAGGTGCTAAATGCGAGCCTCCCTTCTGTTCACAGGTAACAACATCAAGTACGTGCAAAGGTTAAACAAATACCTGCCTGTGGAGGAGAAATCCAACCAGTGGTTTGGTATGACGGTCAAAAGTTCCGGGGAAAATGGAGTCATTGTGGTGAGTTCATTTATCTGTAGGCATGCATGGATTGGTGTTTGTGTGTGTGTGTGCGTGTATATGTGTGTATGTATGTGTATGTGTGTGTGCATGCGTGTATGTGTATGTGTATCTTTGTGTGTGTGTTTGTGTATGATATACGTTACAGACCATGTTATGGTGGCCACTGCTGTTGCTGTCTAAACTGATACCACTGTCCATGTAACTAAACTTGTATTATAGCACGTGTCCGTTTGTAGCGAGGCTGCCATATTTTTAAGTTTGGAAAACCATACATATTTTCAAATTAGCTCTGAGATCATTGTGCAGTAGATATTAGGTCAGGATTTGTTCAGCCTACAAGCAATCGAGCTATCTGTTGCTAGCTACATCCATCATTTTCGTTCTGCCCACGTTTAATAATGAACATTTTTTTTCTTGTGGGAATACTTGCCTCTTGCATCACAGAACTCGCATACCGACCTCAGAACGTTAATCCTTGAACATGAAGCAGTATACTAGTAATCCACTGCACTATTAACTATGGAACTCTTGTAGTGTGTATTACACGTGCCTATCCCACCACATGGAGCATATCGCTTTTCCTAAAGTTCCCGCTTGTTGTTAAGTGTAGGGATGGAGAACTAAGTCTTTCATTGCAAGGCTGGAGAGGTTGTCGGTGTTTACGTATACACTTGAGATTCCCTATCAGTCAGTGTTTTGGTCTTCCTCTGGCAGTATTATCCAGATCGTGTTGGATGTAAACTCTTATCATTGTTCAATGGGGTGCACGATATAAGATGTGCAAACTGCTTCAAAAAGGGACAACAAACAAACGGACAGTTCAGCCATGACCTACGTTATAATGTGTTCTTACTACATTTGAACACGGGTGGATTTCCGTTGTCTTCCAGCAGGTCTGGTATGGAAAGGATGATATTTCTGGCAATATATTGTGCAGCTAAACAATTTCATTGATACATCGTGTTTACTAATACGGATTGTAGGAACAACAACTTGTGTCGGACACACTGAGCAACATAAGATCCAACGGTGGGGACACCCGCTAGAATGCAGCGAGCCGCTTACCATTGCAGGAGCAACATTGTAGGACAGGAGGGTGTAAACCGGTTACACTATAAAGATAAAAACATTGTCTCTGTAGTTTTAAAATGTTTTAAACTATTGATCCTATTCCCCGTGTGGGTTTCGGGGACTCCATGTAGGCAAAACAAGAACAAACCCACTCCCTCCCCAACAAGCATGTCGTAAGAGTCGACTAATTGGGGGCTTCATTCAATGAACGATTGCATGTGCCTAACAGGCAAGGAACCAACAGTCTGCATACAAATAAGCACACGCAAAACTCAGGTTCTGGAACATAGCCGAATTCCAGAAATAGATGAACAAACAGGTTTTTCCGCCGGGGTGTACAACCGGTGAATGCAAACAACAAACAGCGATTGATCGAATCCAGCCACATAGTGCCACTTGGCTAAACATGTCGAAGCATCTGACAAAGTTGTAGCAAACCTTTATAGTGTCTACTCTTATTTCCCAAATATAAGTTTCTGAATAATTTACAAATTTAAAATGAGTGTTAGAATATTTCACACTTGGGATCCCACTAAATAACCTGTCTTGGCATGACAAAATATTCTTTTCTTTGTTTCTTCTTTACACATGAGTTTTTTTTTTTTTTTTTGAGCATGAAACATCTTTAAACGATTACAATCGATCTCTTTCCTTTATTGAACATATTTTATTTTACATTTTAAACTTTAACCAGCAAGGAGATCAAAATTAGAATTTTGAGAGCATGCATCTTCCCTGTAGCAACATACGGATGTGAGTCGTGGACTATCTCTCAGTCCTTAAGAAAGAGAATAGGTTTTTTCTTAAAGCTGAAATTCTATAGAAAGATTCTCAGAATATCTTGGACGAAAAAGAGGAGAAATACTGACATCTTGAAAGATCTGAACATCAATTAAGATAGGCTAAAAAACAGCATCCTGTCTCGGAAGCTCAAATATTTTGGTCATATAAAGCGCCACGACCGATTGGAAAAAAATTATAGCAGAAGGCATAGTACCAGGAAGGAGGGGCAGGGGCCGACCAACATGAAGATGGGCACAGGATTTAAGTGACTTTTTGAGTATGAAAGTACATGAGGCGGGAGAGCTGGCGAGAGACCGAGTTTCTTTCAGGCAGACCGTGATGAGAGCGACGTTCTGCAAAAGACCTGCTACATGATGATAATTTAAACATTAACTCTTGTTACTACAATCAACAATTGTGAAATATAGATAAGAAAAACGAAAAGAAATGAAATGAAAAAAAAAACGAAAGATAGTCGACGGATCATCTTCACTAGAAATCGAAATATTCAGTCTATAAGTACTTTGATCTTTTAGCATAATCGTCAATTTTTAGTGGTTTACATCATCTGTTATGTGTTGGTTTTTGTTTCATCATTGGCCTCCTGAATGTGCGTTCTTGTCTGACTTCACCCCATTTCACTTGACTTTCTGGCTAAGAACAACTAAATCAATGACAATAAAGTAACTTTGAAACACCAGTGTATCAAAATGAACACATCGTATAAAATCAAATCAATTGGAAAGAAAATACTGGAACACGACGACTAAAACAAAGAGCCTAATTTCTCCAATCTTCCCTATAGAAAAATACGGGTGTGAACCTGGCACGTCTTGTGTGTAACTGGGTTTGTATCACATGCCCGTAGAGGTTGAGGAGTTAACGACCCCTGCATAAATTTCTACCGACGAAAAAAGATCTGCAAGAGAGGGAGGGAATCACGCATTCGTAGAGCTCTGGCCCTGAGCAACTGCTGATGTAACCATCTGGCATGTTTTAACATCGCTGCTGCTTCTTGGGGTGCGGGGAATGGGTCGCTTGACCTTGCTGATGTCATTTAGTACACAGGCAGGCGTTTGTAATTATTACTTCTGATTAATTTTAAAGAATGCCTAATTGGAGATTGACTACAGTTATTCGAATCCACACTTCATTTTATAAATGACCGTTAACTGTTAGTTCGACTTAGCCTAAAATTACTACCACTTTAACAAAGCAAAGGCGGCTAGCATGATGGCCCATATCACCCATCCATGACTAGTCGGTTTATATTAAGCTTGTGTACGACACTATGTGACTGATGCGACCATTTTCTTCTACCATCGTCACCACTATACCACCATTATCGTCGTCGTAATTTTCAACTTTTGTCGTTAAGCTTCTGGGGGAGGAACAGCCTGTATTCAATTGCACTATAGGTAGTACTTGAAATTGTCTTTTCATGTAATCAGTCCATCTTCTCCTTTGGCGCCCTCTTGTTTTCACGCCAGATATTCTTAGATGTACCAGCTTCTCATTTTCTTCAGCGTCTCACGTGTACTTACACGTTGGAGAAACTTACAACAAATGTGTGCTGTGTTTGTAGATACAACATTCTAGCAACGGGCCCGATACAGATACTGGACAAAATGTGTCCATGGCCTAGAAACCTGGCGGCATACTCCCAGTTGGTTACTCACGACATTAATGAAGGGATCGCTCTATGACTGTAACAGGAGACTTGGCTTTCGTGTGAATGGGTTGTTAGCTAATCAGCGAGCCTGTAAGTTGACGTGGCAGTCGTTTAATTGTGATGACACAGTCTGTGAGGCGTGGACACTGGCAACACAAGGGCAGATGACTGGACCAGCAAACAAGCACAGATCTGTAGATTTGTAGTTGTGTGCGCGCGCGTGTGTGTATGTGTGTGTGTACACACACACACACACACACACACACACACATATATATATATATATATATATATATATATATATATATATATACACACACATATAAATATATATGCGCCTTTGTATACTCCCATTCAACTCTTGTGTGTATGCAGTTAGTCTGTCACAATTTTGTAAGTAACCTGGTCTGTTCACGGATTCCTTCGACTAAAAGTAGTGGGAACTCTTCTCAAATTATTTCTATGCTAAATCGAGAAGTTATGGGAGAATACCTGTTGATATAAGTCTTAGAATTATCAATAATCAGAAAGTAGAGAAAATCATTATAAATAAATTTCATCCATCTACTTTAAATTCGATGTTTAACGCGCGCGCGCTCGCACACACACACACACACACACAGATACACAATGTCCACCACTTTCAACCCGGGGTGTGAGGAGTGGGGAGGGCGATGTGGTGTAGCGACTAAACGCTTGTCTGCGGATCCGAAGGTCGTAGGTTCAAATCCGAAGGGAGCCGGACTTGTGTTGTTAAATCTTTTTTAAACGATACCTTAGCATCCCAGTTGATCTAGCCTTAAAGGTTAAGTGATGGGAAGTAAAAGCGGCCGGTGTGATGTTGACCACATCAACCGCGAGTTTCTTTGTGCTTAAGGTTCTTATTAAGTAGCTAACTGTCCTTCTGACTGTCCTGTAAGTCTCTTCTCTTCGGTCCTTAACACCATGATAAGACACCCATCATTCTGTCGTACGTTCACCTGTTAACTACAGCTCAAACCATCACTGAGCGGTCGACCTTCGCTCCCATGACACAGATGATGATGATGATGGCGCTTGAGTCGCCCTTTATCACATATCCCCGGTCATCAAGCCACCTTCCTAGGTTTCTTTATCTAACAAACCACTTCTAGTTTTGTCTATTATAGAGCTCATAAGCCCGCGCCAACTCTATTAGTCGCACTGTCGCCCCGGGTCCCCTGACCCGCCCGCCCCCTGCTCAACTAAATATTGTTCCTGACGTCGCCATTTAAATAATCCCATCGACAGACGAGTAAAACGCCACCTGCCGTCCACGGTTTTGAAGATAAGAATTCGCCTGCAAAGTACCGATTTGCCCGCCCGAGCAACAATACTAAAGAAATATCGATTTGCCTTCCTTAAAAACATTTCTGTCCCCTAGAAATACTGACAAAAGACACTCCGGGGACAATGGAGACAAAATATCGATTTCATATACCTTCCCCCGCCC